CACAAATCACAAGTCACGAGTCGTGCGTCACAAGTCAATTTACGAGTTCACTCTGCTGCTTATATGTGACTGAAAATAACATTGATCAATGCAAGAAAACGAATGTACCAATGAAATGCACAGTGAGCAATGTTCAGCTGATCATAGGCTACGGATCAGACGAACGGAGAGAGTGAATATTGCCGTACGACGCAATATTATTGATTTATCTGCTCGAGAATAGTATTGATCCGTGGTGACCCTAATTTGGGTCGAATGTGTTGTAAAGTTGTTCAGAATTGTTTACAGAATGAACCAGTGTGCAGCTTATCATGGGACGAATGGCATTGATCCTCGTCCCAACAGGCGTACGAACCACAAACACCTCTTCCCGGCTCCATTGGGTATCGAGGTGTATTGGGGACCTTGGACGTATGACTCCGTCCAAAGGGCGTATGATCCGACGAACTGGACACCGGCCCCCAATGAATTGCGGTTTTCACACACACACACCCGAGGCCTTGCGGGTGAGGCTTTGGCTAGCCGAAGGCTCCGGTTGTGGATTCCTCAAGAAAATTCACCTGCCTTAGCCTGGGCAACCTGGTACTATTCGTCCCACATGAAAATCATGGAACGTCTTTCTTTATCATACAGAGTATTGCACCATGATTTGTTTGGCACACAGTCTGGCCCCAGATGCGTGTGAAATATAAACGAGTTATAAGCTGAGAGAAGAACCACGATACAGCGACCGGAAGCAAGTTAGATGAATCTGCGCGGAAAGTGAGTAGTTTCATAAATGTGAGCGGTAACAGCATTCGGTCACAGCCCTCAGTGTGTGTGTCTATTCAGTGATTCATAAAACTGATTTCGTGGTACTCGGCCCGGGGACAGTAGGACAGCAAGCAGCCTGAAGAACCGAACCCATTAACTGACGTCTTCATAGTTTCAACACAGACCATAATACAATCACCCTCGATTTGTCTTCAATCACCACCTGTTTGAGAAAGCATCGTACACCGAAAAGATTTATTGCGTGACAATGCAGGATTGAGATCAAATGACGCTAATCAGAATACTGCCAACAGATGAGAATTTGACGATTAATTCAATCTAGTTAGTTAGATGTTACATTCATTTCTAAAAAACTTTGAAACTATCCCGGAGATAATGATTGATATTCGTATTGATTGTAGCTAGCGGGTTCGCATCGGTAGACAGATTAGATCCCATCCTATACTTGGTTTTCATCTCCACCACCTTCAGGGGTGCAGTGAATAAACTCTTAACAGACTCAATCTGTAAGGAGGAATAGACAGGATAAAGACAGAGAGTCGGTGTTTGAACGCCGATGTCTACGCAGCACGAATCTAGTGGGGCAGCCGGACGAGCAAGGTTGAGGCCACGCGCAAAGTTTTAGACAACCGCGGTCGCCCACTAGAGCAAGTGATCGACCTCGATAGATTACGTTGGTTGGGATATGTGCTAAGCATGTCACCAGATAGGTTACCACGGCGAGCGATGTTCGCCGAGGCAGGTAGTGGACGGAAGAAAGTCAAGAGTGGTCAAGATAAGACCTGGCAGGGTGATATTAAAACCTTAACCAAGAGTCTGGGTCACTTAGGTCCCGCTAGGTTCCTTGGCTGGGGACCTCGGGATGGTCGTAACCGATGGTCAGAGAAGCTGTGTGATATGCCTGAGTGTCGCTAGACTTACTGTTCAGCTGCTATCTCCCGTGACTTGCTTCGAAAGATTTCATTCTCATTGGACGTCTTTTAACAGGTCGTGCTACAAATAAGTTGTCACAGGTGAGTGATGTTTGTCGAGGCGGGCAGCAAACGGGAAAACGTCAAGAGCGGCCAAATTAAGACCAGAACACATGGTCATATAGGTACCATTAGGCTTTCTGGATGGGGACGCCGAGATCTGGGGAAGCTGGGTGATATGGCCGAGTGTCGTAAACAGTGGCGCTCGTGCATCTACTTGATATTCTTGCAATCACAGTATACATGAAATCGAAATGTTTCGTGTGCAGTACTGTTTGGTTTCAATGTTTTTTAGCATCTTGGACCCAGTGATCGTCTGTATGACTTTATTCCGGCAGGCACTTCATATCCTTTGCAATGGACCTCCTCTTGCGCCGTACCGACCCATCTCTCTGCCATCCCCACGGAATGAGAACAATGATATGCTAGCACAGCGGTTTTTTCAAAACTCCAACCTACCCTATCATAAATGTTTACAGGTGTGCAAGAAACACGCATTTCATGTACCGGAAAAAGATTCAATGTAGTCGTACATGGAACATCGTTTACAACAACAAAAATAGGTTTTCTCTCGCCGCTGTTCAAATACTGTACCACTATCGAATAGAATAACGTTTTTTTCACGACAATCCATCTAAAATCGACAATGGAGGTGAATTCTTGACTTGAATTTCTCAGTGTCAGGTTGAGCCACATGAAGACATGCTACTGAGCGTTTGTGAGCTCATAACTAACGGACTGTGAACTGATCTTTAAGACTGACCATGCTCAAACAGTCAAGAAAATAGACTGGTTCTAAGGTGATCAATGATGATGAGAGACGGATGAAACAAACATACACCGTGGAAAGCAACGTAATCACACAACATCAGTTATACGATATCACGCATTTATCGATTGTTTCCGTGTAATTTTTGAAGATTAAGTGAATGGAGGATTTTGTGGTCCAAACCGGAGAAAGCAGAATCATAAGAGCATTGGTGGAGTCGATTTAAGTATATTATGTGATCGTTATGTGTAAATGAACCATGAACTGGAAAAAAGGCTGGAAACAGTGAATAGCTATTTCGACCTAGTTGGGTCTCGTTAGCAGTGCGAATCCATTGACCCGAATGAGGATCGAACACGACGAATTAGGTTTGCAAAGATGGGTTGGGCTATAACATGTAAAATGGTCTTTTTACTACACACTTAAGTGTGATGAACAGCAGATGGGGCGAACCCCAAAGTCACGAGGACTTGCTGTTCAGTGGTGGAAACCTAAGCCCCGGGACTTGGAGTGGCGAACCACATAAGGTCTCGATAGGTTAGGCGTGGTATTGAACCGGACGACAGCAGAGCTACCTACCACCAAGGTCTACCACCACCAAGATCCAGGTAAGTTGCAAGCATTTCTG